AGGAAGTTTGGCAGAATAGTTTTGCAGGCTTGGCTGGATTTACAGCGTACACCCAGACAGCCAGTGATGAGTCCCCAGTGGCAGGAGTGTTGCTCTGTCTAGTGCCAAGTGTCAGAGCCAACCCTGAAGGACCCTGGAATCTGCTTGGAACCTTTTGCATGTGCAGTAGCACACAGGGAGTCTGAGCAGGTGGTATTGGGACTTCTGAAGATGAGACGTCTTTTAATAACTTTGTGATTCTTGCAGCTCAACAAACCCTAGCTCAGGTAAGGCACAAGACTTCACTTTTAGGATCTTTCAGAGGAAGAAATTTCCTGTGAACATGGGCCCTCAGTCACAGCTGACAGGACTGGCTCTTACCTTCATCCCTTCGCTGTCCTTTGCAGACTGTGTATGCCAAGGACTGCCCTCTCGCAGCAGCCAAAGCTATCCAAGGACTTCGGGCAGTTTTTGATGAGACCTACCCCGATCCTGTCCGTGTGGTTTCCATTGGCATCCCTGTGGAGGAGCTGCTGGCTGACCCCTCCGGCCCTGGGGGCTCCATCACCTCTATTGAGTTCTGCGGAGGGACGTGAGTACCTGGAGAGGCCGGGGAAGGTGGCAGGGTGGCTGAAAAGGAGTTCCTGTGGAGCTTGAGCTCCTAGGAGTGCCACGAGTATAGACTGGGCAGAGCCAGGGCAGAGATGGAGGTGGTGGTGATGATGTGCCTTTGCATTTCCAGTCCTGAGTCAATCAGTCTTTAAAATTACCTTTTGCAGGCAGGAAGCTGCCTGTATTACCCCGTCCTCACTCAGGGTCTCTGTGGCAGTTCTGGGAGCACAGGTCTTTTCTCACTCGTTTGCTTTTAGCACAGGTTGTTTTTTCTGCCTATTCCCACACTGCTGCATTTCCCTGGCAGGAGGTTGTCTTATTTCTGTGCTGATTCTTGCTGAGATGAGAGGTGGACTTCTAATTCTCTCTTGTGGTCTTGTTTGGGTTCTTTCCAAAGGCACTTGCAGAACTCCAGCCATGCTGGCCCCTTTGTGATTGTTTCAGAAGAAGCAATTGCTAAAGGCATTCGGAGGATAGTTGCAGTCACCGGGGCTGAAGCTCGGAAGGTAAGGGTAGGCAGGAGAGATCCTCTGTGAAATTCCACCTATTAACCATGTGCTAAAGTTCCTTTTGTTCAAATTTGCACAATATCCTCTGAGGGACTCATGGAAAAGGGTGCTGCTCTTGGCAAAGACGGTGCTGGAGACCCTGGCTGTACTACGGTTGGAGCAGGGAAGAGAGGGGGAAGTCTCAGCTGTAGGTTGTGGCAGAGAAACCTCGGTGGATGTGTGGGATGGCTCCGGGGTTAGCTCAGGTTTCTTTTCAGAGTGACTGTGGATGTAGAGCTCTCACCAGCTGGCAAGGCCGGCAGGAGAATGGTGAAATCTGAACCCAGTACTCTGCTACAGGAGGCAATGACTTTGGATATGGGCTGGTGTTCCCTAAAGTGGGAGAAAGAGGTTTCATGGGGGAGATGATTTCTCTTTTGTGGGGATCTTGGCAATCCTGGCAAGAAAGAGACCTGGCGCCCATCACACCCTGGTGCCAGCATCACACTCTGGTTCTGGTCAGGTGCTGCGTGCTTTAGCCCTGTGGCTTCCCAAGACTTACTAAGCTCCATCCTGGGGCATTCCAGCATTCCTTACCTCTTCACACTCTGGGGTGACCAAAAACCCAGCCTGCTCAGTGTTCCAGCTTGATTTAACTCAGATTGTATTCTCCTAGGCCCTCAGGAAAGTTGACAGCCTCAGGAAACTGCTGTCAGCCCTGGAGGCCAAGGTGAAGGTCCAGACAGCTCCCAACAAGGATGTGCAGAAGGAGATCACGGATCTTAGTGAGGTGAGGATGCTTCCTCAAAGTGAATGGGACCTTGATTGCCAGAACTGGGTGGTATTAATGAGGCCTGAGTTCACCTTCTTGCTCCTGTCCAAGAGCCCTGCACCCCATGGGTGCTGCAGCCAGCACCTGTTGCCTCAGGTCATTGGCACTGGGAGCGGAGCTTATTGGGCTTTTCCAGTTGAGGCAGAGTTCATGAGGTGCTGCATCTCTTGCCATGATTGCTGGCACCTTTAACCTTCTCTTCCTGCTCCTGTTCTGCAGACACTGGCCACTGCTGTTATCCCACAGTGGCAGAAGGATGAACTGAGAGAGGCTGTTAAAGCACTGAAGAAAGTCATGGATGACCTGGACCGAGCAAGCAAAGCCGACATCCAGAAAAGAGTGAGCCCTGGGCGGGAATAAAGGACAGTGTGGGAGGGCTGTGGCTGTTCCTTTGAGAGCTCTGTTAGTGTCCAGGATGGAAGAAAATTGATGTGTGGGAGTGCCCCTCACACTGTTCAGCCCTCCAGCTTCTCTTGCTGCCTCCTGAAGCTGAATGACCACTGTGCCTGTTTGCTGGGTTGAAGCATGGCAGCCTGTTCCTGCCCTAACAATGACCCCAGGTGCAGGCTTCCTCCTGGATCCCAATGGAGTTTTCTGGAGGAGGAATCATGCACAACATACCTGCCTGTCAGAATATATTCCTCCTGGCTTCACAGTGTGAGGCTGCTCCAGGCTGGGCTGTGGGTGTATTGGGGCAGCTTGGGGGCTTTTGTCCCTGCTCTACCCAGATGGTTCTTATGTCCATACACAGTGTGGATGGTCTAGTGGCTGACTACTGTTGTTCTCAGGTACTGGAGAAGACCAGGCAAGTTATTGAGAGCCACCCTAACCAGCCATGGGTCATCATGGAAATGGAAAATGGAGCCTCAGCAAAGGTATGGAAAAGTCTGATCTCTCCTCAAAAACCTTCCTTCTGCCTGAGGAGTAGCTGGGTGGTCTCTCATTACCTGGGGAGGCAGTTCAGTGCTACAGAGCTGTCCCTCTTGACACCTGCTGTCCCTGAGAAGGGGGAGTGACCACTGGGATTTTCTCTTGTGTCCCACCCCCTGGACTAGCACATGGGCTTGTAGGGTTGGTGGGGTTTTGACCACTTGCTGAGCTTCCAGACATGGTGGTGTTTGGGGAGCCTAGCAGAAATCCCATTGTGTCCCAAGTGAGACTCACCCTGCAGCTGTCACGACACTGAAATGCACTAAAGAGACTGAGAACAGCAGCTCTGCTGAGCCATAAAAGTCATGATGCTTGTGGCCCCTGCAGATCAGCTCAGGGAGTGGTGTCCTGGGCTGAGTGTGGACATGGCCAGGCAGAGGGCTGCCCCCAGCACTGTCTGCTCAGCTGGGTTCAAGTTCTTCCCTGGCCAGGGCCGAATCTCCTCCTTCCCTCCTCCACACACAAGTCTTTTCCCAAGCGATTTCTGTTGGAATGAATGCTCTGTTGTGTGCATTGTCACAGTGCTGAGCCCAGTAAGTGCCAGGCAGTGTGGGCTGGTTGTGCCTGGGCTTATACTGCTCTGGGTTTAACACCCTGTTAAAATTTCCTCTCTGAGAGTCTTGGAGCTGATGCTGCTCACTTTCTCTGGCCACCAGCATCACCATGATGCCCATGCTTCTCCCAGTGGGTGCTGTTGCAACATTTTCCCTGGTAGAAGGATGCCTCCCATGAGATGGCTGTGCTGGCAGCCCAGAGAGTTACATGTTCTCAGTCTGCCCAGAGCAGCACTGCAGGACCACTCCTGGGGCTCTGTGCTGCATCATGCTGTCTGTGCAAGTGAGGGATGGTGGTCTCCTTGGGAATAATGGAATGTGTGGCAGTCTCCCTGGTTCTTCCCTGCCTGCTGTGTCTGGTAACCCTTGCAGGCTCTTCATGCTGCATTTGAGTCCTCCAGACTCCCTTTGGAACAGCTATTCCCTTCTGCTGGGAGGAGCTTTGTCCCCTCCAGCCAGTACATTCAGGCAAAGGTTTATTCTGGGGCTGATTTTGCCAATTCCTGTATACCCCAAGGCAGGGAAATAAAAGCATCTTCTCTTTCCTGCCTTGGGGTACACAGACAGGGTTTATGTCCCTTGCCAAGGCTTCTACACTGCCAGGAATGTGAAGATGGCTCATTTTTGGGAGGAGGAGCGTTGCAGAGTGCTGCTGGCTGGTTTAATGCAATTCCTAATCCCTGAGGTCTCTGTGGGTGCTGTTGGGGCTGGAGCTGGGCTAGGGGCAAGTGCAGGGAGACAGTCATGCAATGGTTTTGTTCTCTTCCAGGCCCTGAATGAATCTCTGAAGCTCTTCAAGACTAATTCCCCCCAGACTGCTGCTATGCTCTTTGCTGTGGATAACGAAGCTGGCAGGATCACCTGCCTATGTCAAGTACCCCAGGTAACGTGAAGACTTTCTCTGAGCCTCTGTGGAGGAGCTGCAGCCTCCAGGCAGGAACTATCTAACATTACACAGCCAGAACTGACTGGGGTTTGGCAAGATCTACAGCTTTTGTGCTTGGGCTTATTGTCAGGCTGTAGAAATGAGGAAAGAGGAGTTATGCTCTGCAAACAGGAGAGGGGAAGAGTCAGGACTTAATGGGGTGGTAGGCACGGGACAGGGTGATTGCTGTTCAGTGCTGACCGCTGGCTTTCTTCTCCTGCCCAGGAGACTGCAAATAAGGGCCTGAAGGCCAGCCAGTGGGTGCAGGAAGTGTCTGGCTTGATGGACGGCAAAGGTGGTGGAAAGGACATCTCTGCACAGGCAACAGGCAAGAACGTGGGCTGCCTGCAGGAAGCCCTGAAACTGGCTACGGACTTTGCCAGGCTCCGCCTGGGGGAGCTGAAGAACTGACTGAGGGGGAAACCCGGACCCAATTGTTTCCCTGTCTGTCCCCTGCCCGGTTTTCCTGTCAATAAAGGCTCCCTGCCCCGCGTTCTGCTCCCCGGCTCCGGAGGCGGGGCGGGCCGGGATGGGATTGGATGGGGCGGGCCGGGATGGGATGGGAGTGGATGGGGCGGGCCGGGATGGGATGGGGCGGGATCCCGCTGCCAGTCACAGGCTGTGCCCTCCTCCTGCTCGGGCCCGCCCCTCCCCCGCCCGCTCACGGCGTCCCGCCGACCATGCCGCTGGATCACCGCCGCCTGCGCGGCCCGGAGGAGTCGCAGCCGCCGGCGCTGTGGGCAGCGACCGCGGCCGAGGATGAGGAGGACGAGGAGGACGCGGGGGCGGCGCCGCGGGACCCCTGTGCCCTGCGGCCGCTGTTCGCGAGGGCCGGGCTGCTGAGCCAGGCGCAGGGCTCGGCCTACGTGGAGCTGGGCAGCGGCACTAAGGTGCTGTGCGCCGCCTGGGGCCCGCGGGAGTCGGCCGAGCCCGGGCCGGGCCGGCTGCTCTGCGAGTTCCGCCGGGCTCCGTTCGCGGGCCGTGGGGCGCGGGGCCGGCCGGGCGCGGCGGCGGAGCGGGAGGCGGAGCGGGAGGCGGCGGCGGCGCTGCGGGAGGCGCTGGAGCCGGCGGTGCGGCTGGGCCGCTACCCGCGGGCCCGCCTGGCCGTCAGCGCGCTGCTGCTGCAGGACGGGGGCTCGGCACTGGCCGCCGCCGTCAGCGCCGCCGCCTTGGCGCTGGCGGACGCGGGAGTGGAAATGTACGACCTGGCCGTGGGCTGCGCGCTGAGCCGGCCGCCCGCGCCCGCCGCCTCATGGATGCTGCAGCCCGCCGAGCCCGAGGAGCGCCGCGCCGCCGCCCGCCTCACGCTGGCCCTGCTGCCCGCCCTCAACCAGGTGTCGGCCGTGCTGGGCGGCGGTCGGGGCGGCCCGCCCGAGGACTGGGCGCAAGCCCTGCGGCTCGGCCTCGATGGCTGCCACCGGCAGTACCCGGTGCTGCGGCAGAGCCTGCTGCGGGCCGCCCAGCGCCGCGATGCCGCCGCCGCTGCCACCGCCGCCGCCACCGCGGCCGCCACCAGTGCCTGAGTGCCCGTGGGAGCTGCGTTCGCCGGTCTGGGGATGGGGCATCTCCCAGAGCCTGCCCAAGCTGCTTTCAATGCTGCCGGAGACTCCTGGAGCCTGCCTGATCCACACATCGCTGTTGGGGATTAAAATAAGTTTACTTTTAGAATCTTAGAAGTTTATTAAGTTGAAGTTTAATTGTAACTGCTGATGAACGCCTAGACCCAGCCTGATCCATGCCTCATGCTGCTGGAGACTGGATGAGCCAACCTTTGCACTGCTGGAGGCCCAAGAACTGTGCTCAAGGAATCTGCACCCCCCCCACACTGCCCAAACACCCCAGAGTGCACCTGAGAAGCCCTTGTGTTGCAGGACACCGTTCCTGACTGGCTCTGTGGGACCCAAACAGCCTTGCATTCTGCTGAAGCCCCTGAAGAACAACCTCCATACCGCCTCTCAGCCAGATCCTGCTTGAGACCTCCCTCCAAGCAATTGCTGGCAATCTAGGACCCCACATCTCAACCCAGGATGGTCACAGCACCAGGCTGAAATCCTCACTCCAAGCTCCCCATCATATCCATCTGTGCAGGCAGCACCTAGGCAGTACCAGGCAGGAACTACATCATGGCATGGACTGCACATCCCTTGGACTTCTCGCCCAGGCAGTGCTTCAGGGTGGCAGAGTTGTATTTTGTTAGTTTTTTTGTAATAATAAATATTTTTTTTGGTGAGTCTTCTGCCTGTGTGGCCCTCCTGGGGCCTCTGCCAGCCATGAGCAGAGGTGGAAGGATGCTTCTACAATTCCTTGAGGAGTTCAGAGGGAGCTGAGTGCTTCCTTGGAATGTGATTATTCCTAGAGATAGAGTGGAGCAGGTGGTCCTGTCTGCCAAGCTACATCATGGTGGGCTGGTAGGGAATATTCTGGGTATTTTCCATTGGGATACAGGGCATAGCTGCATTCGTGCCTCTGGGTTGAGCTGTAGGAAAGGCAGCATCCAAGAAGGCCCTCAGAGCTGGGACCTGTGTCTGGCAGCACATAAAATGGAGTACAAAATTGTGTACTTTCAGACGGTTAAAAACTGCATTGGAGTTGAATAAGCAGAGAAAAAAAAATACAAATAATTTTTCTTTCCAACACAATACACTCTTTTACCAGAGAAAATTAGAAATACAGAAAAAGTTCCTACCAGTGAGAGAAGGACAACCAAGAAATGAGGGACACGGAACTGAAACTCGACACTGGGGAGCACAGGGGGAACCAGAACTCTTTGGGTGCAGGCCAGGGCTTTCATAAAGCTCTTACTAGAGTCCTGCTGGCTGCAGGTGCAATGCCTGACTGAGAATAGACTCTGGAAAACCAGTAAGGAAAACACATTTGGAAGCTGTGGCAAATGGGAGTGACTGCATTGGCATTGCCCCGCTGCTGGTCCTGCAAGTCACATCAGAGCTAGGCTTGGTACCATCCCAAAATCCCACAAAACCCACCTAAAAGCTGGTTTAGCATTGTTCCTTCTTCCTACGGTGGGTTGCTGAGCCATCCTGGGCTGTACCTGTGCCTGCTGCACCAATTCCCAGGGTCTGAAGGCTGGGATGCCACTTGTGCCATGGGGGTGGGAGCCCTGGGCTGCATTCTCTCTCCACAGCATCCTGTGGGTGAGGTGATACTGGCAGCAAGGCAGATGGGATTTGGGGTGCTACTTCGGGATAGGGTCCTTTCTATTTTTTCACTGCTCCCTTCCTTCCCCAGGCCACCTCTGCTTATCCACAGGTCTGAAAACAGGAGGAAAAAGAAAACAAGTGCATTGGAACACAAAAACTTCTCTCGCCAGAGCTGGCTGGCAACTCCCGGGGTGGAACACAAGGCTGCCAGCAGCAGGGCATGGCCATGCCAAGGGCACCTCATGACGTGTGTGCCACTACCTGGAAGCCTCAAAAGAAATAAAGAATGCAAGCTGGGAAGGGCTGGCCTCACAGGAAGGCCACAGCCTCCCAGTCTGGTTACTGGCTCCCCTTGGGGTTCGACGTGTGGGTTTTCACCTGTGAGGAGAAACACACAGCATGGCCATCCTGCAATGCACTCCAGAGTAGGATCAAACTTGGCACCCTGCCCAGCACGGAGGTACCTGGGATCCCACACCCACCTGGGGATGCAGGTGTGGGAGCAGTACCTTTGGTAAAATGTGTTTCTGATCCTAGGGTTTTTTTGTAGCCTTGGTGCTGCAGTGATGCACACCCAGGGGGTTGCTGCAGGGTACCTGGGGATGTTCTGGTTGTGCCAAAGGTTTTAGCCCTGGCACACAGCGGGAATGGTTTGGGAAACCCCAATGGAGCATTTCATCTACTCCAGGCATCCCTCACCAACAAGCAGGGGTGGATTTTAGAGAAACAAAGAGCATAGCATAGAATCTGGTCCTCCTCTTACTGTCTCCTCTGTGTCTGTGTTCTCTTCTGCACTGTCGATGTTGTGCAGGTCGCTGTCCCCGTCAGCCTCCGTCTCCTCCTTCCCCTGTGACTCCCGTGACCCCTCTCCCACTGGAGATGGTGACTCTGTCCCCGGCTCTGCTCTCTTCTTCTCGTTCTCCTTGGACCCTGACAAGGCAGAGATAAGAAATTTGGGGTACCTATGCAAAAAACAGTTCTGTCCTTGCCCATTCCCCTTGTGCCAAAAGGTTGGGCTCTTCCCTGCCAGCCCAGAGAAGGGAAAGGATGTGGGGAATCTGCCCAGCCAGCTCTGGATGTCCTGGGCATACAGGGAGGTTCCCCTTAAACCCAGCTCAGGGCTCAGGCTCGTGTATGCCCATGAGCTGCCCAGCACAGACACACAAGTGTTGGAGGGTCTGTGACTGATTCCCTCACCTGTGAGACTCTCTCTCCGCTGGCTCATGCGGTCCAGGCTCTCCAGCAGACTGTCCACCTGTGCCTTGATCTGGCTCAGCTCCCCCTTGATGGAGTGCAGCTCTTCAGCTTGCACTGTTGGAAGAGGAGCCATGAGGATCCCACCCAAAGCCAGGAAGATATGCCATCCTGGGCAGCCACCTCCAGAGCATCCTCTTCTCTGGAGCATCCCCCTTCTCTGGAGCATTCTCCTCCCTTCCCCTCTATGAAACATCCTCCTCTCTGGGTATCTTTGGGGAACAGTAATGGATCCAGGGAACAGCCAGCACACCAGTGCGGCCCAGGCTGTGTCTGCTGGAGCTGGGGACTCACAGCAACATGGTCAGCATCAAGTGGGACCTCTGGGCTGCAGTGCTGCTCTAATGCACCGAGACACAAGAGCTCAGCTTTCTCTTCCTCCCAGCCCTGTTGCACTTACACTTTGTCCGTCCTGTTGTGAAGCTGGTGCTGCTGCTTGTCCCAGGCTGGGTGCTCAGGCTGCTCTTGCTTCTTGCTCCCAAGTGAGTCCGTCTGGTCTTGACTGGGATGCGGTTAATGAGCGAGGGGATCTGCTGGTACTCGTATACTCTGCAAGGATACAAGAGCACGGTGGTGTGAGCACAGCCTCAGAGGTGCAGCAGCAGCCCTTACCAGCCAAGAGAGCATCTCCTGAGGTCCCTGTGCAGTAAAGGACTCCCAGCCTGCGCACTGCCCTGCCCACGTGCTGTCCCTGCCCCATGTACCCCTCCCCAAGGCCCCCAGCCTGGGGAAGATGCAGCTCCTCCAAGTGGAGAAACCACTGAGCTTTGGTCAAAGGCAAGGGGATGGATGCCCATGGACATCTCGTTTTTCCAAGACCAGAGACATGCCAAACCCACACATGCTCAGCTCATCTTGCTCCTGGGATGCTGCACTCACCGGTACGGGAAGTCATCCCTGTAGAGATCATAGTCCAGGTCACAGTTACTGCTGCAGGAGCGGGAGAAAGCAGACAATATCACCCACAGACACTGTGGAGCAGTCACCACTGGGCACAAACCCACCCAGCTTTCATCCCTGGGGAGTGGGAGGCATCCTGGAGGATCCCACACGAGCTGCACCATGATCCAGGAGGTGGCTCTACCCTGGAAGTGATCTTCCACAGAGGCAAACAAGGGTGTTAAGGGGGATGGAGAGTCCCCAGGGCAGCATCAGCAGGGTTTGCCCTCAGAAACCTGCATTTAGAGTGCCCTGATGTTAAATTTCATGGTCGTGGCTCCATGCACAGGCTGCCAGCTCACTTGGCTCCAAATCAAGAAGAGATTCATTCCACTGCAAGCAGCAACATTCCAGTAATAAATCATGCACTCTGGACCAGGAGCAGGGAGTAGGGAAAGGAGAAGGAAGAAGAGGAGGAGGAAGAGGAAAGATGCTGAGGCTCATTTTGCTGCTTCAGCTCTTGCAGAGTGAGGAAGAGTAGGATTAAGCCTAACCCGATGAGAGACAAAGCCTTGATCTGAGCATCATTTGGAGCAGGGAGCCTTCATGCTGCCAGGAATGGGGGGACCAGGACAAGGTTCCCCAGGGCTCCAGATTTTGCTGCAGATGAACTTGTCACTACAGGAACAATGCAGGAGCTCAGGGAGAGCTGGAGATTTGCTGTGGGGCTCGCAGGCAAGCTGGGCTGCCCTGCCTGGGGCACCAGGCTGCCAGTCCAGGGGGCAGCTTGGAGCCCATCATGGGGCAGAAGCATCTCCTGTCCCAATGCCATTCTGCTTTCTTCAAGGATCATCTGCACAGGACACCTTCTGGTAAGGGTGAACTGGCAGCTCTGAGGAATCAGGACCCACCTACTCCTGTGCTTCACACCTGGGGTATAATTATTGGGATGCATTTTGGGAGCTTTTGGTCCAAACTCACTGCCTTCCCAGTGATGGGGACAATAAGTCCTTGACATCCCCAACTCCTGCCAGTCAGAGAGGAAGGTCACAACTTGCCCTGGGGAAGAGGGGAATGGGCAGAGGGAAAGGTGTTCTAACCCACACACAGGGCACAGGGGTGGTGCCCCCTGCAATGGCTGCTGATGCTGCATGGAGCCCATGCCAAAAGGGATGGGGATGCCACCCTGTGCTGTGAAAGAACTGATGGCATTGCAGCACAGCTAGTCTTGGGGTCTAGCACCCAGCTGGGGACACAGCAAGGGGTTTCCTGGCTCAGGTCTTTGCTCAGAGCATCCCCTGGGAAGAGCAAAAGCAGTGGCTGCCACGCTCCAGTGCCCAAGGGGGCTGGCAGTCCTGGCCCTCCAGTGCTGCATCCCTTCAGCTCCATGGCAACAGGCAGAGCAATTAGTTCAGTCAGGGCTTTCACAAAAAAGCTTTAACAAGACAGGAGACTAGCTCCAATCCCCTCCTCACCACCCATCCACTGAGATGTGAAGCCAAAAATGCACAGGGATGGGGACAGGCTCTTCATCTACCACTTGTGCCATCATCACCATCACCTAATGACCTCCTCAGGGCTGTCACCAACTCTGTGTGCCTCTGCAGAGCTGTCTGTCCTTAAGGAACAACATTTAAAGGCCACAATTGCAACTGACATTGACATAGAATCATAGAATCCTGGAATGGTTTCAGTTGGAAGAGTTCTTAAAGCTCATCTCATTTCAAACCCCCTGCCATTGGCAGCAGCACCTTCCACTAGACCAGGCTGTTCCAAGCTCCATCCAACCAGATCTTGAACACCTCCTGGGATGGGACATCCACAGCTTCTCTGAGCAATCTCTGCCAGTGCCTCACCACCCTCACAGGGAAGAATTTATTCCTTATATCCAACCTAAACTTGCCCCCTGACAATGTGAAGCCATTACTGGGGGGCAACATCTGTAGCAGGTGTGGAGACCACAGGGCTCTGCTTGTTCTCCCACTGCATTCAGATGGGGAAGGGGAATCCCCACACCCCATTAATGACAAACAAGAGGAGGAGCCTGGCCAGGACTCCAAACAGCACCTGTGCCATTTGGCAGCAGGTAATGCTCCAAGAGATGAGGCAGGGATGTCCCTACCTATGCCTCCCATCTGGAACAGCCAGAGGTGAGAGTGACAGAGAGCAGGGGAGGAGGAGGACCCAGGTGTGGGGCAGTCCCAGCCCCCAGTGAAGCCCCCACCCTGCACACAGGCACTCACAGGCTGCTGCTGTGCTGCCGCTTCTGGCCCAGCCTGGCCCGGCTCGACTTGGACTCCCTGGCCATGTCCAGATCTGAGGGGAGAGGAGGGGAATGAGCAGTGGAAAGAAAAGAGGATGCCAATATCCTACCCCACACGTCTCTGGCACCAGCTTCCCAGCCACGCTTCTCTCCTGGCTGGAGATGTCCCACTGCAGGACGAGCAGGGGGCTGGCAGGTCTCTCTAGATTTAAGTTTTTGGGAAAGATGGGAGCAGCACAAAGTTGTTCCAGAAATGTAACAGCTCCAGCTATCCCTTCCCAGGGGTGTCCCATCCCAAGGACCCAAAGATGGGCAGGCTACAATTAGGGTGGCAGGATGCACCTCTGATGATGAAGGTAATTAACCTGAAGAGATGTGATGAATCCACCTTTGCTATCACTCCTGCTGGGTGGTTGGGTTATTTTTCAAGGATATCCAGGCCAGTGGGATGCCCGTGAGTGCAGCTGGGTGCCAGGGATGGAGTAAGTCCTGTGTCCAGCTGTTTCACCCTCCCAAAGGCTGCTGAGACACGTGTGATGATATGTGGGGTGGGGATGCTTCCGGACACACAGCTCGGTGATGCCACATCACACCTCCCTGGCCATGCCCTTCATTCCTTCTTTAGGATTTCACAGCCAACATTCATACAAAGGCCAGCTTGAATCTATTTTCTGCATAAATATTTGAGAAGCGCTGATGCTGTGGTTTGTGAATATCTCCATATATTTAATTTTGTAATTTTGGGACACTCCAAAACCTCTGTGGCCACTGGGTGAGGAGACAGCTGAGGGCTCCCCCTTGCACACACCCTCAGCCACAATAAATGTAACCAGCTGTTCCATGGGTAACATTGTGGGTGTTATTGCACCAGGGAACCCCATGCTGAAACTTCTCAAGCCATAAGGGAACATACCAGCCCATCAGTGCAGTCTAGACCTCCCAGGAGCCTGGCCACTGGCCACAGGCCACACAAGCCCTACAGCTGTTGGAGCAAGGTCCTGCTACCCCAATGGAGAGGAGGGTTTCTGAGCAAGATCCCAGCAGAAGCAAACTGGCACTTGTTTGCTTTCCAGGCTGCCACCTTGTGTGGTGAAGTTTGTGGTCTGGTTCTGATCTCAGGGTGAGCCGGGAAGGTGCTTGTTGTGCACCAGGGAATGCTGGCACCCATCTTCCGTGAGTGCAGCAGCATCCCTAGGGATGGCACACTCACTGCTCAGGGCCACAGCCCGCTGTTGACATCCCTCTCTCCAGCCCATCACACCCATCCACTCTCCTCCCTGACAGCACGACAGAGACCTCAGCACCCCAGCCAGTGACCCCAGCCATAGCTAGACACCCTGTCATAGGCCACTGGCATCATGGGGACTGTCCTGCTCGGGCAGGGGACCATCACCCCAGGTCCATTGCCTGTGTCTGGGCTTCCTCCCCTCCCCAGTAACAGAAGGGTACTGGTAGAATATTCCCGTCCTGGTGGAGCAATGGAATGGGGGAATAATGCATGGGGGGACATCCCAATACATGGAGGATATTCCTATCTGGAGGGATATTAGCAAGGGGGCATCCCAGTATTGAGAGGACATCACTGACCTGGTGTTAATTGGCATGGGGACGTCCCAGAACTAGAAGAAATCCCTGCTGTGAGGAATCCCTGTCCTAGGAGAGAATGGCATGGAGGCATTCCAGTAGTAAGAGGATATTCCTGTCCTGGGGCTAATGGTGTGAAAGGGTGATGGCATGGGGACATCCCTGTACTGGGAGGACATCCTTGTCCCAGGGGCGATGGCATGGGGAGGACCAGGCATCCCGGGTATTGGGAGGCCATCCAGCCCTAGGGAGGGACAGGTGCTGCTGTGGTGGCACCCCGGAGGATGCCGTGCCCGGCGTGGGGAGCCTTAGAGGCACCAGAAGGCTGCAGGGGGACACCCCCGCCTCGGTCAGAGCTGCCGGTGCCGGGCGAGCATCCCAGTGCCGGAGCATCTCCCGGGGCAGGGGTGCGAGAAGAAAGCCTATCCCGCGGGGAAAGGGGCACTCGGGGAGGGTGGAGGGCCGGATCAGGCCGGTACTCACATCTCCAGCCCGCATCCCCGCTGCCGAAGAGTGTCATGGTCCCGCTCCGACCCCGCGCCCCGCGCTATGTGCCCCGCACCCCGCGCCCCGCACCCCGAGCCCCGCACTCCGAACCCCGCACCCCGCACCCCGCACCCCGAGCCCCGCGCTCTGAGCCCCGCACTCCGCACCCCGAGCCCCGCACCCCGCACCTCGCACCCCGCACCCTGCACCGCGAGCCCCGCGCTCTGAGCCCCGCACCCCGAGCCCGACCGAGCCCCGCTGCCACCGGGCGCTACCACCGCCGGGCGGGGGGGCCGCGGGCCGCACCACCGCGGCACGGCAGGGAACACCGCCCCCCGCACGGGGGTCTGGGGCAGCCCCGCTGCCTGGCCCTGCCCGCACCACTGCCGGCACCGCTGGCACCCGGCTCACCCTCCCCCGGGGATCGCCAGCCTCACCCTCATCTCTAGGCTCCTTCTAGCTCCATCTTCCCGCCCCTTCCCACCTGCCGGACCCCGCCCTCGGGATCTCCATGCTCACCCTCATCCTCATCCTTCCAGCTCCATCCTCCTGCTTCACTTGCTGGATTCTGCCGTCGGGATCTTCAGTCTCACCCTCATCCTCCCTGGGTTCCTTTCTATCCTCCTGCCACCTCCCACCTGCTGGACCCTGCCCTTCTGGGCAGGACCCTGCCTCAGTTTCACCCTGGGTTTGCCCAGTTTACCCGGGGCCTCAAGTCCAGCCCAGCAATGTGGATGGTGCCTTACTTGGCTGAGACAGTGCACAGTGCACACGCCACGACACACCCTGGATGAAAATATTTTAATTCCCACCTCAGGCCAGCATTGGAGTGGGTGGTTATGAAAGGAGGAGGGCAGTGGCACATCACCTCCAAAAGCACCCTCTGACACCCACAAGTGCTGGGGACATGGGCTTGCACCCAGCACATGGGGTGCTGTGACTTGGAGCCATCCTTGGGCTGGAAGAAGCAGCTCTTGGCTAACACCATCCTTCCAAGACAACCCCACGTGCTGAAGATGAGTTCAGCCAAGTCTGGCCTTGGCTCCTGCAACCCCAGAACCCACTCCAGAGATGAAGCTGGAGGTTCCACCCAGTGCAGGCAGGATGTGGGCTGTGGCTAGAGAGAGTCTGGTGGGCTTAGGGGAGGAAAAAGAGACAAACTGCTCTTCTCAAGGGAGAGAGGGTCTTTATTAATGACCGGGCAGAAGATGAAGGACCAGGTGGTGGTGAGAGACCCCCCAGGCTGGGGCATTTTCATCAGGTCAGGACGATGGCTCAGAGATGAGCCCGGTCCTCACCCTGATCTATGCCAAGGTCTGCACACCCAAAGAGCCCCGTGGCCCCTCGTTACACTGAGACCACAGTCCAGACACAGCCCAGCTGCCAATTTTGGAGGAGGATGCTTTTCTACCTGGCTGTTGCAAGGGACATCTCCTGCCCAGGGTGTTGCAGAGTGATAGTGACAGAGAAAGGTGAGGGGCAGAAGAAGATGCTGTTTCAGGGATGCTGGAGTCCAGCATACCCCTTATTGCCAGGTCTCAGTGCCATGGGTCCCCTCAGCCCCTCATTCCCTGCACAAGTGAGCTGTGCAGAGATCTTCCTGAGCCATGGTCCAGGCTTGGCACAGCACCAGGGTCCTCCTGAGCCACAGGTTCAGCACAGCAGCCAGCACTGGCTGGTTCCCAGGGCTACCAGCTCAGGGGTCCCGCTGCCACAGGGCAATGTGTTCCTGGGCTGCAACGGCATGTGTAGAGTCAGTGCCTCCCGCCCCAGGACAGACACAGAGGTCTGGGCAGGGCTGGCAACAAGGGACAGACACAACAGAGCCGGGGATTGGCACCTCCAGGGCCCAGCACATCCAGGAGCGCACAGGAGGGCTCCCAGCTGCTCACTCACCAAACTGGCAGATGTAGCGGTTTCGGGTCTTGCAGCGCTGGTCATTCCAGTTGAAGGCGGCTGACGCTTGCATCTCCACACAGTTCCCAAACCTGTGTCCCACCAGGATGGTGGTGAAGCCAGTCAGCAATGACACCATGCAGAGTTCAGTGTCCTCTAGATCCACTTACCCCTGGTTATCTGGCTGCCCAAAAGCGAAGCTGGTGAACGAGGATGGCTCACCCACATCCCAGCGGAAGGAAGCCTTGGATGTCTTGTAGGTGAGACCTGGGGGAGCAGGAGATGGGTTGGCATGTCTGCCAGCACCCCGGGCACCTTGTACCCTGGCTACTGCTGTCTCTCACCAATCCAGAAGTTTCCAGTCTCAAAATCGGTGTCTGTAACCCTGTTACCCATCTCCAAGCGGCTGAGGTAGAAAGCCAGGATATCCTGAACCTTCTGGTTTCTTATCTGCGCCAGCATCGCTCCTTTCTCCTGTGGGAAAGTGAGTGAGTCTGCCCCACCTGCGTGCCCCAGAACCACTCTAGGCAGAGGAGAGATGCCTAGGGGGGCTGCAAGCATGGGTGGCACTTTTCAGCTGCACAGGGATGCTCAGAGCACCCCAGGAGTTCACCTGGCATTTAATTTTGGCTCCATAGTAGGTGTCGGCTTCAGGGGATACCATGAAGCAGTCGCTGTCTATCTGCACGTCACAGGCATGGAAGGGGAAATGGATCTTTGCTGGAGACACAGGCAGGAGCAGGTGGGTCCTTGTGCCAGCAGAGATGGGCCCACAGAGGACCCTTTGCCCTGCTTTGGGGTCCCCTGCCTGTGGATCCCCGATGCCACCCCACAGCAGTGCAGGTGGGCACAGACTCACTGCCACACTCGGCTCCACCGTAGCCCGCGTCGCAGAGGCAGGAGCACTCCTCCTTCCTGAACCTTCCGTGGAGGCACTGCCCGCTGCACCTCACTGTGGGCACAGCACTGCATCAGCTATCAGGGGGCTCAGCAGCCCCTGCCCCCCGAGCTGGCTGTGCTGCCCAGACTGCACTGGCTGTGCCCTGCACCGACCCTGCGCCTGCATGCCCTGCACCCACCCTGCACACACATGCCCTGCAGCAGCCATGCACAAGCCTCTGAAGGTGGCACGGTGCCCTCTCACCTTGGCAGTACCTGCCCGTGTAGCCCTGGGGACAGGTGCACTGGCAGCTGCTCATGTCGAGACGCCCACTGTTCCTGCAGCTCATGCGACAGGGATTCCTGGGCACCTCTGGAAACACCAGAGTGACAGTGAGGGCATCAGGGGTGGAGGCAGCATCACCAGGGTCGTGCAGAGGCCATGGTGAAAGGAGGGACTCACCGCAGAGCCCGCCGCTGTGGTCCCAGGACTTGAAGCAGCCAGAGAGGCCAGCAGTGCAGAGGGAGCACCAGGGTCCCTGCTTGTAGGGTAGGATGGGCGTCCCGGCCACCTCCCAGTTGCCCCTGGCCCCACAGGCAGCTGGAGGAAGATGCCCCACCCACCCGGGCAAGCCACACCCCCTTCTGGGGCAAACCCACACCCACATTGCAAAGCCATACCCATTTCTAAATTACCGCCCTGCCTTCATTCCCCAGCCCCACCCTCTTCTAGCCCTCTGTCCCATGTCCACAGCATTCAGCCCCGCCCACTGCAACAAACAACCCCGCACAGAACAACCAAACCCTCCAGCTTCTAAACCAACCCTATTTGCATCTCCAGGCCCCACCCACATCAGTACACAGTCCCGCCCACCTCCAGGACAAACTCTCCGCCCCCTCCCCTGCCACACATCCCATAGGTCAACCCATGGCCCCACCCACATGGCTAAGCCCTATTCGCACCAGGCCCCATCCATCACAGCCACACCCACCACGCCCAGCCACACCCTGCAGCCACACCCACCATGCTCGGCCCCATCCAGCATCCATACCCAGCCACACCCACCATGTCCAGCTCCACCCTGTAGCCACACCCACCACAGCCAGCCCCACACCTCATGGCCACACCCACCACACCCAGCCCCACCCTGCAGCCCCTTACCCCGGCGAGTAGGCACAGGTGAAAGCCTCGCTGGGGCCGTGGGGGCCAGGGCAGCGGTGCCGGCCGCAGCCCAGTTGCCCCGCTGTGGCCCACACCAGCTGTAGGAGAGCTTTTATCACTGGGGCCCCGAGACCCAGCAGCCCTCCCCATGTCCCCCATGCCCACCTGGGTGTAATGGCGGCAGGTGGCATTGCTGGCACAGCGCCCTGTCCTGTAGTCATAGCGTTGTCCCTCAGCAAACCAGAGCTCTAGCACGGCCCCGAAGCCTCCAGTGCCCGCCGGCAGCAGGGCCTCGCTCCAGCCCAGCTCTGGGGCTGGTGGTGGAGCAGGGCCCTCCAGGCAGCTGGCTGCCCGTGCCCCCGCCAGCCGCCCCAGCTCCTCGCTCCACTCCTGCGGGGAAGAGCATGAGCCACCCAGGGAACAGCCCCAGGGCCAAGATGGTCAGTCCAGGAGGTGACTGGGAGACAGCAGAGCATCGACAATGGGCCATGCTGCAAGAGACCCCTAGGGACCAGCCCTGCCTTTGGTGTGCTCAGGTGTGAGGTGGTGGGGGAATACAAGGGCCATCATGGAATGGGGGACCTCGCAAAGGACTCCAAAGAACTCTGTGTCCTTGGTGTGTGCAGGAGCCATCAGAGAGGCGTGGGGGAACCCAAAAGGCACCTCGAGGAACCAGCCCTCTTTTTGGTGTGCCCTGGATGTGGCATGCTCTTCCCCAGGGGCCCCACATTAGCCAGCTCTTCGGCTTCATTAGCATGTTAGCAAATTACTGTGTATCAGCCATGGACTGTCCATCTCCCTGGGCATGGGGTGAGTAGCAGATATGACATTGAAGATGGGGGACACAGGACCTGTCGGGGGGGCTCACCAGCTTCTGCATGTTGGCAGCAGGGGGTTGCACTTTGCTCCTCAACTTGTTGTGCAGTGAGAGCACCAGGAAGGTCTCCTTCGTGCTGAGAGCTGGGGGGGACAGCAGGGGATAGGGATGAGGGGCCAAGGGGGCTGAGGGGTACAAGTGCCCTCCCCATATCCCTGGCTGTGGCCGGACCTTTCAGGGAGCCGTGGGAATTCCCCCTGAAGGGTCCGACCGCAGCCGGGGATACCGGGAAGGCACCCGGGTCTCCATGGAGACTTGAGGGGAGAGAAGAAAGAGCTTTTGGGCTGGGAGCACAAAAGGGGCAAGGGGCCGAGGGGGGGTGGACAGCCCGCTGGGCCCTCGTCTCGCACGGGTGGGCTGAGACTGCCAGGAATGTACCCTCTCTACACCCCCACCTCTGTCCTGCCAGGATCCAGACCCCAATGGGCAAGACCCATTATTAGCCCCCATCACCAGCTGCAGGACCCCCAGCCCCATTTCATCTCTAGCTCCATCCCATTATCAGCCCCAGAGCTCCCTGGTTCCATTGCAACACCCCAAAGGCCCCCAACTCCATCCCCTCACCAATTCCATGCCCCTTCTCCCAGCCCCATTCCATCCTCAGCCCCCATCACCCACCTATTGCCACCCTGGGTGCCCATCACCCACCCAGTCCCCCACACATCTGGTGTGGCCCAAGGGGACGATGCTCAGGGTGCATTCACCTCCCAAACCCTCCCAGCCCTGCTGCCAGAGAGGCAGCCCCTCTACCAGTTACCTCCCGGAGCCAGCGGGGACAACTTTTCTGGAGCATCCGACCTCGTCTCACCCACCCTCCACATCAGGAGGCTGCAAACCAGCAGGACCAAGTGCTTCATGTAGGTCCTGGGATGGGGGAGCAGACCCCCAAGCTGCGGAGGGAGGACTGGGGAGAGCCGAGCCGCCCGGCAGCAGCCCTGGCTTTGGGGCGAGCTCGGCCGCGCTCTCCTGCGTGCGTGTGTGTGTGTCTGGTTGCAGGATTTGATCCTATTCAGGACTCCAGACAGGCACCGCTGGGCAGCGGGAACAAAAGCTTGACGGGTGAGTAATAGCTCTGTCAAAACAGTTGCTCGCTGGAGCGAACGTGGCAGACAACTCCCGGGGCCCCGGGCTGCAGCCCCGCCGGGATGTCCCGCAGCGGGGTCAGCCCTCCGTGCTCTGCCCCGGCCCCGCTGCCCAGCCGCGGTCAGGGCGTGAAGGCAGCAGAGCAAGGGTAACAAGCAGCACCCACTTTGGGACACTGGGAGACTGGAAGCCAAGGGGCTGGGGCAGCAAGGGGGCCCCTGCTGCCAGCCTTCCTCCTGCCCCATGAATTAAACATGCCGGGGAGGTAACACACACCGCTGCAGGCATGAAGCCAAATACCCGCTCTGGAGAGCTGGGCAGCGTGGTTAGAGGGTGGGAGCATGTGAGAGCCGGGGGGCCAGCGGTGGGAGAGATGCTGGGCCCAAGGGGGCTGTGTCTTGGGGTCCCAGAGCCCAGGCTGCTCAGGGGGCTCAACAACACCCTAAGAGCTCTGCACCAGCACAGTGTTCCCAGAACTCATTCCAGGTGCTCCCCTGGCACAGGGCAGAGATGTGGGCTTCAGACATCCCTGCTGAGGGAAATGCCACAGGCAGGAGGGACTGGGAGCATCCTACACATCAGCTGTCAGGGCTGAGCTGAATGTCAGCATAAACCCAGCTCTAATTGCTTCCCTTCCCTCAGCCTGAGTCTAAACCTGACTCTGGCTTGAGCCCTGGCACTAACATTAATTCCAACCCCAACTCTCATGCAAGCACTCCTGCTAATAGGAATCTGAACTCTTGGCACTGATCCTAACACTAACATTAACCCTAACAAAAAAAACTAACTTTAGCCCTAACAATTACTTTAATGCTAATTAAAACATTAAACTTAATGCTAACTCCAAACCTAACACTAATATTAACCCCAACTCTAATCCTAATCTTAACCCCAACTCTAATCCTAACCCCAACCCTAATCTTAGCCCTAATCTTAACCTCGTCCCTAGCCCTAATGCTGACTTTAACATTAACCCTGACCCTTATGTTAATGCAGACCATAACACCAACTGCACCCCAGCTCCAGACTGCAGCAGCACCCCGGGATTCCCCTCTGAACTCCAGCCAGGGCTGAGCTCACCCCAGCAAAGCTGTGTCAAATCCAGTGAATCTGCATTCCTGGGCTACCCTTCCTAGTAGCCCCAGCCCCACTGGTGAGCAGAATCCTCGCACAGACCCCAAAGCCATCTTTTCTCCCAGGAGACTTTCCCAGGCTTAGCTAGCACATGGGATTAGCCTCATCCTGCACCTCTGCGTGCCGGGGAGCCCCAGAGCCAGGACTGGCCGTGTGGTGAGCCTGGCTCCGCTGGTACCACCGTAAGTGCTGTGACAGCCACTGCCTGGCCCCAATATCTGCTGGCTCTGGGACATGAAAGGCTCCAAAGCCTCTGATGTGCAGAGAGGGAAAGGAACGGAAGGGAAGGGAAGGGAGAGGCTAGAGCCAGTGCCAAGGGGAAACTTTCCTACAGCTCAGCCTCAGGCAGGGGAAAAACCAACAAACACATGGGCACAGGCTGCGGATAAATCCCAGTGAGTGCAGGAACACGGCTGTGAGCACAAGCGGACCGTCAGCGTCTTGCCCCTGTAGCCAGCCCCAGCGTGATGCTCCTCATCCCACTGCCAGCCTGGCTGGCCCTGGGCATCCTGCAGCTGCCCCTTGGCAGCTCCCAGGTAAGGACCTGCATTCCCTCCCCTCCAACCCCATAGAAGATCTCCCTCTGTGGGCTGCTCAGCACCCACCTCTCACACCCCAGCACCCCAATACCAGCCCTGAGCAGGGAGTACAGCACAGCCACGGCAGCTGTGGAGCTGCCAGGGCCAGCGTCATGGAGCTTTTCCCCTGCAGCAGTGAAATGATGTTAAATGCACTCAGGGCATGCAGTTTCTCCACAGCATCCAAGTGCCAGAGCAGGACCAGGAGGTGTGGGGCTAAGGCTGGAGCAGACAAGGAGCCAGGGTCAGACCCCAGCCCAGATGGGAAGGGGCTCTGTCCAGGGCAGGACATCAAAACCAGCCCCAAAGATGCTGCCTGCTTAGAAGGGTCCTCCCAGGCTGTGGCAGGGTGGCAGGGGAACGCAGTGGTGATTGGGGTGCCTCTATGATTCCCCAGGAATGTCTGAACCGGCAGCAGGCGCTCAGCGTGGTGCGGCAGATGCAGAAGCTGCTGGTGGCACAAGAAGCTGCTCACCTGCAGGGCATTCGTGGGCTGCGGCACCAGCTTTCCATCCTCCAGAACCACCTGCAGAAACCAGCCACCAAACGCAACGGTAATCCTGCCTGGTCACCACCATGGGTGACATCCCCAGGGGCCAGCTCTGATCTCTGGACCCACACAAAAGCTTAGGCAAGGGACCCCCAGCTCCCTGTCAGGCTGGGGTTGGCTCCAGGCTGGCAAAGTCCATCCCCACCCATGTCTGCCTGTCCACAGAGATGTGTCCACAGCTGGCAGTGCCCCTGAATGGACGGATGCTGGGCCGGAGCCTGCGGGTGGGCCACGAGGTTCACTTCATCTGCGACGCCGGCTTCCGGCTGGTGGGCTCGGAGACACGCACCTGCCGGCACAACCGCACGTGGAGTGGCACCCAGCCCTTCTGCAGAAGTGAAGTGGAGCAGGGTTGGGGGTGCCATCACGGCTCCTCTGTCACCCTGAGCTGTGGGGTTCCATTGCTCTGCCCAGAGGCTGCAGCAGTGGGCACCGGGGTTGGGCAAGGATGCACTTCACCAGTTGATGCTCACGAGCTCCTTCTCCCTAGGTATTGATGACTGCTCCAGCAACCCATGTGCCAACAGTGGGACCTGTGTGGATGGCAACCAGAGCTACACATGCCTCTGCCCACCAGGATGGTCAGGCCCCAGCTGCCAGAGCCCTAATTACTCCTGTAGGTGCCTGGGTTTGGGCTGCAGAGGACAGGGATTCTCATGGGGAGAGTACCTGGCCATGCTGTGCCTGTATCCCCCTTCCCTGGCAGCCCCCTGGAACCTTGGTCCCACCATCTCCCCATGCCCCAGCACGTGACACCTGCTGTCCCCTGCAGACTGGGTGACATTGAGCAACACCTCCTTCAGCCGCCAGCCCCGCTGTGCTGAGGGCCGCTCCGGGTCCCGGCGCTGCAGCTGTGACACTGGCTTCCAGCTGCAACCTGGTGGCTTGTGTCAAGGTAAAAGGGGGGGGGGCGAAGATGATGGAGGGGGAAAACAAGGCTTGATGGCAATGGGATCTCTGGCTATTCCCTACTTTGTCCACCCTAGATGTGGATGAATGCCAGCTCTACCAGTCCAGCCCCCAGACACAGATTTGCCTCCATGACTGCCTCAACCTCCCTGGCTCCTATCGCTGCCTCTGCCCCCCTGGGTATCTGCTCCATGCTGACCGCAATGCCTGTGAGGGTAAGAACCCAGGGTGCAGGGCAGGGAGCCTCCCATGGGAAGAGGGGTGCAGTGGAAACAGCCCCACTCACCCCATGTCACCACCACAGATGTGAATGAGTGCACTGGGAAGCAGCACAACTGTAGCCAGGGCGACCTCTGCATCAACACCTTCGGGAGCCACCGCTGTGTGCGCCCCAAGTGCCCCCCGCCGCGCCACAACACCAGCTATGTCAAGACCTCTGCCTTGTGAGTACCCTACTGTGCATGGCTCAGGCTGTGTCATGCCCTGTCCCAGGGCGCAGCAGGAAGAGTGCCAGCCAGCACAAATTGCCACATGAGGTGCTCAGGTATGCTTGGCATGCTCCTTGATGGTCTTGGGATGCTGGGGTTGCAGGTGGGAGCACCCCAATACATGCTGGCTTTATCCAGGATCCTGGCCCTCTCAGAGCACCAGCCTGTGGGGTGTGATGCTGATTTTCCTCTGCTGCACATCCATGTGGTGCCATCAGCTGCCTTTCAGTAGTCCCAGCCATCCCACTCTTGAGATTAAACTGCTTTGTGCCACCCAAATAGAGGGGCATCCCTGATCCTGACAGGTTCCTCTTCAGGAGGCACACAGGGCTGCATCTCTGGCCTTCAGCTGTGACTGTGGCACCCGTGCAGTCCCAGCCTCAGAGTGTCACACAGACCTGTGTGCCTGTAAGCCATGACATTTGCCTGGCAGAAACAGGGATGAGGCGGAGATCCACTTGGATGTGACTATCTTGGGTTGCTCTGCCACAGGATCGACAGCAGGGCTGGAGATGCTGCCTGTGGCAGAGGCTGGGCTTGTGCACAAGGATGAGGTCAGCTCCTTGAGAGCCAAACCACGGCACTGAGCGTGGCACCCTTCTCTCCTGGCAGCCAGTGCGAGAGGAACCCCTGCCCCATGGATAGCCGAGCCTGCCACCTGGCTGCCAGCTCCATCTCCTTCCACTACCTGCCGCTCCAGGCCAACCGCACTGTGCCCCGTGTCCTCTTCAAGATGTCCACCACCCGATTCGTGGGTGACAGCCTGCGCTTCGCCATCACGGGCGGACGGGGCCAGGGCGTCTTCGCCGTGCGGCGCTCGGACCGGCAGACGGGAGAGCTGCTGCTCACCAGCCCCGTGGCGGGGCCGGCCACGCTGGAGGTGGAGCTGGAGATGAGCGAATTCTCCCACAAAGTCCTCCTGGGCAAGCACATCTTTAAAGTCACAGTCTTTGTGTCCCCATATGTGTTTTGACTCCCATTGGAGGCAGGTGTGAGGCCAGGCAAGGGCCTTTCCCGGGGAGCAGTGGAGCAGGTTCAGCTCAGTGGTCCCAGTTTTTGTACCACTGGAGTTATCCCTCTCCCATAATGCTTTCTCATAGCCATCTCAGCAAAAA